CTTATCACACGGATATGCAACAGGTGCAACAACGAGAGGAGACGTGTCGTCCATCGGCAATGCATTTGAATAATTGGAACAAGCGGGTGACCGCGACCACTCTCACGATCCGACGCGTTCTCTTGTGGCTGATAGTTGCCAAACTAATATAAACACCGTTTTACTCGTATCCTATCCTATCCGGTCCACAACTATCATAGGAGCATAGGAGTAAATAGAAATAGCAAATAGCATCTGTTACCAATTTAATATTACGTGATTCGAGGCGCGATCTTGTCGCAGATACTCGTGAATCGCAGATCTCTGTTTAGAATGATTGATTAATTATTTTATTGCTTGAGGTTTAATACCCGATGATATCTTGTTAATCTATATTTCTTATTATAAAACAAAACCTTTGACAAATTTTATGTATATCGTTAGTTGAGACTTTATTGATGCTGAAGATAAAATTATTATAATTATTTTACTTTCACAAAATGTATTATATTCTCATCAGTATTCACAACATACACTTACATTCCTAAACTTGTGTAAATCGTGACTGCGAATTTTTATTATGTCTTTTGAGTCATTTAATTGTCATGTTATTTATATATTGTTCTTTAGAAATTTACACAGATGTATTTTTATTTATTTGTTTTTTATTAGTTTCCATTTCTTATTTTTCAATGAAAGTCAGATATATATTTTTATATTTTTAGTGAGTAATTAAATTAATTATTCAAAACTCATCGGATGTTTCGATTTTATGACCGTGAAATTATAAATTATCTATAGTGAGTTTTATTTGACGAATAGAATTATATACTTTTTATAAAGTTGAGTTTTTATTCCATGCTTATCATTTATGGATTAGTTTATTTTAATAGCTTTTTAATTGATACCTATGGTTGAAAAATTTTAATGAAATGTTGAGATGATATTATCTCTGATTTCGGGTTTTGACAATTGGAAACAAAATAATTAGAAATTCTGAATTATAATATCTTACAATTTTGACATAAATTTTTTTTCTTTTTATTTCAGAACTAAAATTCTGATTTTTTCGTTTTATAAAACAAATAAATTCATACTAAATTTTTAAATAAAATATTTTTTGATTTCTCAATTCGATTGTGGCCAAGAATAATAACAGCTCATTAAAAAAATTAACATGGCTTCCAAAATTTCTCTCGTATTATTTCATTCAAAACATGTACTTCTTTTTGTGATTTAATTTTTAATAATTACCCAATAACTAGAACACATAATATTTTATTTAAAATACAAAATAATCTTTCATTCCATTTCTTTGAATTTTAATCCCACTTTTTTATACATTGCCCAAAAAGATTTGATGAAGCAAAGATAGACATCCGTAAACCCATAACCTGAATCCAAAAAAGTATCATTTATATATAAATCAGAGTTTTGTATATTTCGTGGATTTCAACCAGATGTGATAATTGCTATTGAGGGAATAGCATAAATCTCTCTGGGGTGTCGTAAATCTTTGAGCCAAAAATACTATCGGTGAGTTTCCCGGGAAACCAAATAATTTTTTCCACAACATGAGCATCCCCCAGTCGCTTCGGCAAGTAAAAAATATATTTAAAAAAATGAGAGAGTGTAAAATAAAAAAATAATTGATGATTGCCGTATCACCTTTCGAAAACTATGTTGTACGTTGGACGTGAAAACTGGAAACTGGAATAGAAGTTATACCTCTACTCAGTATATATGGGGTGCAATATCCATCGGTGCGCTGCATGTGCAGTCTGCAGCCCGTTCAATTTAGTAGTAACTCTTGTTCATTTCATTTTTATTTTTTTTTTTATTTTCCCTTTTCCCTTTAAGATTTATCGAAATCGCTGGTTGCAAGCTGCACCTGCTTTTTATTATTTTTTACTGATGGTCATTGGCTAAACTAACCATTGAAATCCATGGTTTTTCAAATGTCGATCTATAAAAATGTACAATACAATACAATCAATGATATAAAAGCTGCGCAAAATAAATTAGCGGTAAAAAAAGTCGACAAAGAAAATCAGAAATATGTCGTGAAAGTGGTAATTTATTCTCTCGTCTCTTTGTTTCTTTCATATCTATCGTAATAGATATCAACCATTTACCTTCTCTCTCTCTTATCATATTCATTGTCTGTTATTTTGTTTGTTCCAGCAGCAGTATATGATGCTACTCTTAAAAATATCTCTTCAAAAGTCACCTAACTGTAAAATCACATCTGTCTTGAATTTTATTAGAGCTTTGTCTTTTTATTACTCATTTTCTTCATTGTATTTTATTAACTTTATACTTTATACTTGTCTTTCATTATTTTTATCTTCAATATAACAACACACGCACGATGTAATTCAAACAAATTTCATTTTATGCACATAAAATACAGGTGTTTTATATTCAGTTTATTAACAACTATTTTCCTAAATAAAATACTATTTTACAGCTAGTTATTAAATCAAATAACTCGCGCCTCGTTATTTTTTATATCAGCTAGTCCAAATATCTAACAACGTATTTTATGAAGTATGAAATATAAAATAAAAATATTTTCATATTATTAATTTTTATACTCGTTCTAAAATTTTTCACTAAATGCCACTTTGTATATTATAATTTATTCGAGGTAATTATTGAATGAAACTTTGAAAGTTTATATAAAAAGTGATTTCTTCGTTGCATGGGGTCTTGAATTACTCGTCCGATAGTAACAGTCATAAGTTACATCTTCCTGGCATTTGTACTACTAAATTCAATGGGATACAGTTTTATTGCGCGGGTAAATTTACTGTAATAATTTATTGTTTAATTAAAGTTAAGACTTAGTTTAATTTTTAAAAATTATTATTATTAAAAATCATTGAATCAAATATAAAAGTAATAATTTTTTCATGTTGTTCATTTCCGAAAGAAATAAAATCTCAGGGATAAAAAAAATTGGAGTAATTAAGTAATAAAAGAAGGAGATAAAGGCTTCTAATTGGCGTATTATAAAAAAAATGTAAACCAGAGTTTTGTAGGTATATAGGTAAATTAAAGCACAAAGTTGTTAGGATAAAAAGTGATTCAAAAAGTAAATAATAAAAACCCCGTGAGCTGGTATATGGTATTATGGTGTGGGTAGATACTGTAAGTTAAGTAAAGTAAAGCTACGGGGGAATAGCTAATTGAATAGCTTGGGAAAATATGCCGGGGGAATATGTAACATGAACGGAATGATACTCAACGTGAAATATTTTATTCCCCTGCTGCTCATTTACGAGCGGAAACATTATTAACCTGCCCTCTTCATCTACTCCAAATACTTTTTTCATGGCACCTTGTACATACTCTTCTCGGTTACGATATATACACATACATTTATATGAAAATAAAAATAAAAATAAAAAATTAATACGCGTATCCATCTCGAGTGTTATATTTGCCCTGTTGTTCTATTCCACCGATCCATTGTTTCAATCTTCATGGTTTTCTCATGGACGCAAACAGATTGTGTGGGAAGGTTCGCAGGAGTTTGAAGTTCAATCTTACAACCGAGGTCGAATGTTTGCCTGCGGCCTAATGTGGTTGAGTGTAGTCGAGTCGAGTGTAAGTGGATAGAATACTACATATCTATATATCTATAGTATAGAGGATACGATAGGATAGGATGGAGCTCAGCCGTCACTCTTCTCTCCCCTTTCGACACTTCGTCTTGTCATCGAGACAATCTAACCCAATTCACGGAGATGTTTTGCAGTTTAGTTGTTACATTATGTCCCCTACATACACATACATACATGGGTACCGTTTAGATGTACTCACATCTATTTCTACATATATTGTAACGCATTGAGACAATTTAAATGATTAAACAAACACTTGAGTACATAATAGATAAAGACTCATGTACAATCGCCAACCATTAAGTGATTAATATTGTAATTACTCAGACAGTACTTCACTATTTAAACATCACTTGATTTGTTTGCTATATCTGACATATGTATTTTGTTTTTTCAGTACTGATTATTTTATTAACTCTTTGTTCGATCGAATTAAATCATATGTTTTTTTTTATTATTCATATTCGTTGATCTAATTTATTTTATTTTTATTTTTACTCATATTATTTAATTATCTGCAATCATATTAATTAAAAATCAAAATTTATATTAAATTTATAATTCAAAAAACTTTTTAACATTACTAATATAAAAACTTATTAATTAATTGAATTGATTTAAATTTTATATTTAGTTTTGCAAAAAATAACTAACCTAGTTTTTCACAACTAAAAAATAAACCAAATTCTTGATACTGCCTTTCTAATACGTTGTATCCCACAAAATTTGACAAATTGACTTTTTTTGAAAAATAGAATCATAACAATATTATCCAAATCATATTAAAAATTTAGTTAAATAGTTTAATAACTATTTTTAAATAAATATTTTATAAATATGGGATACGACGTATTAGAATGGTAGTTTCGTTCTATTTTCCCGATAAGTGACATACATATTTGAGTGACTAGTTATAAATTCTACAAATTTAATTATTCAAGAGATTATATTCTGATACTATGATATATGATAGTGATGCTGTAAAATTAGTATCTCTAAATTTACTTCTAACTCTTCACTTTATTTAAAATTGAGATACTGTAGTTGAAAAATGAGAAATAATCGAGTTTATAATTGTCATACCACCCGAAAAAGCAAATTGACATTTGTAAAATACTATTTTCACCATTTTGTTAAGTTTAAAATAATATCTACTAAATTAAATTCCCTTTACAGTAAATAATGATTTCTTTTCAGAATTATTTTAGATTAGACGTTCAAAAAAAGATTAATTTTATTCAAAAATTTGGTTTTTATTGTTTTTTTTTATATTATTAAATATCAATGAATAAAATTAACGTTTATTGATAAATAGATAATCAAATCAGGCCACTCTCTAAAACTTAATTTGTTAAAAACCACTAATTGATAGTTAATAGTTACTTTTATAAAATGTTCAAAGTATATAAATATCATGAAGAGTTATCAACTTTTAAATTAGTTAACATGGTCACGTTTAAAATAAGTAGGTTTTTTATTAATTAGAAACTAAAAAAATTCTACAAATATTATTTTTCTACTAATACTGTAGCGGACTTTGATGTCTTAAGATTTTTAAATTGATAAAAAATAACTAATTTAAAAGTAAACTCTAAAAACTTACTAAATTTTTATTGAAAAGCTAAATAATTTTTATGTAATTTCCATACGTACTATCTCGAAATTTCAGTAATTTAATTACAGAAAATATTCAAGCTCATATAAAAAATTCCATTACAGACTGTCCATCAATTTCAATTAATTTTTACCGATAATTGCAATTATGCTTCATAACCACAATAAAAAAACACTGACCTAAAAACCTTTTTTTTTTATATGTTACAGCCGGAAAAATTCAATCGTCCTCCGAACGCAGCTATCAGTTCGCGTGCATACGATAATCGGTAAGTACCTTGTATTTTTAAAGCATAAAATCTACCACAACTTATTTATATTCATCAACCTAAATCCTGACGTTGATTGATTTAAAAACCGGAGCAGATAAGGCGTATAAATGTTGAGTTTATTCACACGATAATCGACAAACAAGAAACGTTTATTTGAACATCCTCAATTACAAGAGTAGAATCAATATTTAGCCTCCATACCACTCAACTACCTTGTACCCTATTGCGCTCAACTTTACTTACACTATTCCACTGTGGTCAACTTATTCGCGCTGTTGTTTATGTTGCACGAAGATATGATAGTGGTAGTGTCGTCAGGACTTGGCAGTACAATACTGAACTCCTCGATTCTTGTCCTATAGGACTAGTCCTAGACTCGATACCTATAGGGTATATATCCCATACGACATATAACTTTCCTCCTTTATCTCTATATATCTATACCACGGTATCCGGACTGTGGACTCCGGACTGGCAGATATACAGTTCACCGAGGACCGAGATAGAGGAGATTGCTCGATTAAGCAGCTGCGGCAGGAGGATCACTCGAGCATAACGGTACGTGTGTACGACGCAGATTGGCTCCCTTGTTCTCTCAACACTTGGACTGGACTTTTCATGCAGTTCCGTTTCATTCAACTCCTATATAATATATACATTTATATATATATTATATATATATATATATAAATGTACAGATCTGAACTAATACATATTTATAAATATATATAACAGGGTTACCTCGGATTGGATTGAATTTGATTATTGAAATAATATTCAAATTTCACGGTATCGTGTATCTGATGCTATGCAAATTATTCCGTTTTTTAAAACTAAATTGGGTTATATTATATTACATTATATATATATTAAATGGTATTATATATTTACCTGGATGTAGACCTAAGTGTAATTTATAATTAAACGGCTGATGGTGGATGTACAGTGGATAGTACGAAGTAGCGACGGTGAATTGAGGGATAAAAATAAAAGGAAAAGTATAAGTAAAGTATTAGCAAGGGACTCGGTATTACTTCCAGGCCATGTCGCAGAAGAACATTTAATTTTCACGATAAGGAGATAACCAGTAACAGGGAAGATGCAGAGTGTATACTACGATGTACAGTATACTACTCCATCTAAACGCTCCAGATACGAATTAACTTGGTAGATTTCCCAAGATATTCATTGTTCACACGGTCCCAAACTCTGCGTGTGTTGGAGTCTAAAGTCGAGAGCGGGTGAGAAGGAAGACAAAAATTTATTAGAGCTAGTAGATAAATAATGTAGTTTGGTAATTTAATAAGGGAGGACAACCTGCTGGATGTTTGGAGTTTCGGCTCAGGGTAGTCTGAATTATTTACATGTTCGGTGTGTTAATTACTTTAAGGGGTTATACGCAATTGTACTGAACAACAATTAACTTGGTTGAAGACGAACATTTTTTGAACCTTGAAAATCATTTTTAGTTCAATCGAGGATTTTTTGTACTGATTCAAGACAGTAATACGCTTAGAAATTTATTGGTTCAAAAATTTTTCTGAAGAATCAAATTAATTATTATAAATGGCCGCAAAAACGATTTTTTAATAATTTTTTTTCGAAGAGGTTTTTTAGTTGAATAAAATGAAAATTAAAAGTTATTTTTTTTTACTTTTGATAAAAATTTTAACTTCAAATTGTTCTTTAAAATATTAAATATTTATCGGAATAATTAACCCTAAGATCAATTACTGAAAAATATAGTTAAGAAAATTGTGTAAAAATTTGAGACTAATTAGTTAAGCCATTTTCGATCATTTTTGCTTACTGCCTTTGAAAGGACCAAAAAGGCTTTAAAAATATAAATATATCATATAGAATACCTGTTTAGTTTTCTTAAATTTCTGTTTATTTTCTTAAATATAAGAACGATATAAAAATTATATTAGAAAAAAATTTATCTTTAAAAAATTTTAAAAAGATCTTAAATTAATTAAGAGTTTTATTCTTGTTACCGATGACATTTATTTCACTCTTCATTTCTCTAAATACTTTTTAAGTAAATTAAGTAAATTTTAAGTGAAATTAAAAAAAATCTATTTTTCTTATCTTTAGTGCGTCCAACATCTCAATAATATTTTGGAGAAAGAAATTTTTAAGATATCATGTGTTTCTTTGTCCTCTCGTGTGTATTTAATAACGATCGTAAAAATAGAGGAATGTTGGGAAGGAGAAGGTAGTTAGTAGGTTAACTACTATATGTATATATAGATAGATAGAAAGATATATATTAGGTACCATAAAAGCTTGGAGATAAAAATGTAGATGAGAAAAAAAAAACATTAATAAATTATCTGGTGATCGAAGTGATCATTGAATTTTCACTGGAGCATTTGCAATTTAAATACCCGCAATAAAACGCACGCACGAAAATCCCATTTAATTAATGTAAATATTCACGATACATACGTGTTATTCACACGTCAATAGGAATCCAATTATTCTAGAGTCCCGTACAAATGTTTTCTATTTAATATACACATATATAATGGCCATTAATTGTTTAAATAAATTTCTCTTTTATTTTCTCCCCGCTAAAATTTATTTGTCGTTTGAATGGAACATTCAATTCATACTTAATTAATTACCATAAAATTTATTTTAATTCATCAATTTTGGGATACAATCACTCTACCGTTAGACTATTAATTATCAAAACAAATTTTGATTGATGAAATTTATAAATCGTCGGGGTTTTTTCAACACTGACTAATATTCTATTATAAGATGCGATGAAAAATTTGATAATAATGACATGACGGATTTAACACGTGGGTCAGAGTGGTCAAGGGCTTAATTCTGAGCCTAAGGGCCTTGCGACCGCTATTTAACAGCCGGTTCTTCACCGATTTTTTTTTCTTTGCTTCTTCTTCAGCTTATAATTACTATACTTTCTGTTACTACACTACACTACACTGTATACAATATCACATGTATATTTTATACTGTCCTCGATTCTTCATCACTGGAATTTTTATTCACAAATCTATTCAAAGACCTCATAATTAAATATAATAACAACAATAATAGTCAATGAACTACCATTTTATTTAGTATACAAATTTGTAAAGGTTATAATTATTTTTTATTCTTATATCTTTTAACAAAATATTCAAGTAATATTTGACCTAAATTTACATTATTATTGTTATTATTATCATATCTACTCGGAAAAAAAATTACATGTGAAAATTGACGAAGTGGTTATGTAAAAATTACACGGACATTTTATGTTATGTTTGTCAAAAATAACTGTTAAATTTACAGGTATGAATATGTAAAATTTACTCAGTTAAATAATGTCATATTTACAGAGAAAAGCTGTTAAATTTACAGTTATTTATATTCCTACAATAAATCTTTATAATTATTAAATTTATATATGAGTTCAATTATGTAAAATTTTATTTTCTTGCTATTATATACATTTTTTTAATATAAAATTTGCAATCTTTCCAATGCTCAATTTATATTTTTTCAATATACTAAATTTACTTTTTTTCTAATAAAAAATTAACAGTTTTTATAATGCAAAAATTACAATTATAAAAATGTAAATTTGACATTTTTTTATCTACATTAAAAATTTTTTCTACATGCTAAATTAACATTTTTTTGCTATGTAAAGCTTACATTTTCTAGTTAAAAATTTTAAGATAGTAAAAATTATTTTTTTCTAGAAGTAAAACTGTAATTTTGACAGGATTTTTATTCCATATATTATTATTAATATTACATAAGAATATAAGGTTTGATAAGGTCGTATTAGAACATTTTCCACCGATTTTTAGTATAAAAAAATTATTAAATATCAAACACAACTTTTCGACAAAAATTCATAATTAATAATTAAATTTCACAGTTTGTTAATAAAATAACAAAATTGCGGACATTGTTAAATATAAAACAACAACATAGATGTGCTTAAATTTGTCGCTACCCGTCACATCATATATTTATATACATATAACTAAAACTATAACACCTCGACCATCCACCATCGTGAAACTTCTCTCTCACTCCTTGTTAACTCAATTTATCTCAGGCATTTCTGCATTATAACTTTGTTCTCCAAAATAATTTTGTTCGGATACTCTAAACAACCTCAAACTACCCCAAAGTACGCTAAATAATTACCCAGAGAATCTTAATAGTCCTTAAATAAATTATATTACAACAAACACTCCATTGTGTTACTAAATATATAAATATCCTTAATGCCTAATGCTCAATGCTTTTAACTCTTAATAATCAGAAATGGCATTACATTAATTACTTAACCCAAAGCAAAGTAACACAATACAATCTCATAAGTCATAAGATAAAATAAACTTTTTATTTAAATACCAAGCGCAGATATAAAAACGGTAAAACCTCTAAAATTTCAGTATGCAAAAATTGATCACATTTAATTAATGTCATGCTTATACCGTTCGCTAATTGCAACGCGACAGCGACTTTTAATGTAAATAAACGAGTGAATGTAACGAACGTCAAACAATTGGACTGGCATATATTACCAGCTTGATTTATATACATATATACAATTCTTTTTTACTTTTAATTCCAATTGCAGAATCCGTACTGATAATTAACAAAATTGAATTCTATATAGGTAGATATGTTTAATTAATTAATTACTTTTGCCCTTATTTTTTATATTAAATATTTGAATAAAGACGAAAATTTAAATAAACATAGAATAGTAATTTAATTATAATATTAATAAATTAATTAAATTATACATGATAAAAAATATTTTCTCTGTCTTAAAACTTTTTAAGTCAATCAATGTCTTTAAATATTAACAGACATTTCCTATTTTTTTTTTTTTTCTAATAACTTAATGAGAATAAGTGTAACGATTACAATATAATAAATTGGTGAAATTTGCCATAAACTTATAAAAAAATTGCCCAATAAAATATTTAAAAAAATAAATAAAAGACCTTTGGTAAAATTTATTTGAGCAGTTAAAATTAAAAAAAAAAACCTCTAAAATTTTTTCCCGATAAAAATTCTTTACCTCTTGGTTGAACGATATTAAATTTCAAACCACGTAATATTTGACCCTCACAATGTAACTTTTAAATTAACTGGAATAGCGGAGGCTGAAAATTTATCGAGTGGTGATAGATCTTTGAGTAATTCATTTACGTTTAAGTTTAATGGGAATTTGCGGGCAATAATAACTTAAAGTTTACTTTTTTCATCATTATTATTTTCTCGGAAAATGCCGGTCCAGCAGAAAGAAAGTTTTAATGACGATAATTGTAGTTATGATTGTAATTATAATGATTGTGATGATGATAATGATAATAATAAAGAAGAGTGAGGTGGTTAAATAAAATGAAATGAATATTTATTTGCCTAAAAGTATAAAAAGACATCTGCTTGGAACATATCTGAATAATTATTGTAATAAACGGTTTGTTGTGTTTTTACAGAGAAATTGCTGAACAGCGAAGGCCGTGAACTAAGACGTGCACTCTTCTCTCTCAAGCAGATCTTTCAGGTGAGTTTCACTGGCTATTTTTAAACGCGACTTGTTCTTTACTCTCGCCCCCACGTCTCATATGTTATCTTTATCTCTCTTGTTCTTTCTCTCAACCTCCTCGTCCCTTTGCACTCACACAAACTTCCTATCGCGAGTCTTTATATTATAACCTTATCTATACAACAGTACTATACCTTCTTATAACTCTCCTCTCTCCTCTCTCCACTCTTTACACTATATACTCTTTAGCATCCTCATCCTCACATTTTTTATTCTTCATCCAACTTTTCTTCTCCTCATTCGCTTAGCTGGTTTGCCCGAGTAAATATTTGTGAGGCGACAGCACGACCATTTTCTTTTGCATTCTACCGTCATCCGTTTTGTTTCCCATCCAATAAATGTTTACTCTTTTTTTTCTTTCCTCTTTTTACTCTTTATCTCATCTCATAAAATAAGAATTTCCACTAATACTTTTTTAAATAACCATCAACTGAGAACAAAATCTTTCTCAAGCATTTTTAAATATTTATTTTATAGAACTTTAAATATTAGCAATAATAAAAAATTAGCCGTGTCATTATTTCGCATAAAATTCTGACTGACAATAATTACTAATTTTAAAAATAAAATATCTTCAATTCATACATAGGAAAAAAAAATTTTTAACGAAAAAATTTATCTTAAATTTAGTTAAAATTTCTTCAGCCAAGAAAACTTCTTCTTCTAAAAAAACTTCGCTTCTTACATTTTTCTTGGTTCAAGTAAACTTTTTCATCTGTATAAATACTTACATTCACTGATTTTCAGCTTATAAAAAATTTAAATGAAAGATTTTACAATTTTCCAATACTTTGACAAAGAAGTTAACTCTAATAGTTAAAATCATTCTAAAAAAAAATTTTTCAAATCGAATAAATAAATTTTTGAATAAAATACAATCAAATTAAATTGACAAAAATTGTTTTTTTGTCGAGAAAAAAAATTATTGCAAAAAAAGTTAATGCGGAATAATTCTCCTATATTTATATGACAATTTTTTAATCTATAGATTTCTATCTAAAATAAATTTATTATAATCATTTTATATGTTATAATATGCTTAGATATATTTATCTATATGAGTTTCGAGTCCTTAAACCAACAATAAGTTCAATAAATATTGATCTTAATCATTGATAAATAAACCGTCTAACCTCGGAATTGCATCGACTGTTAATCAAATTCAACCTAATAATTGCATTATTTTATTTACTATTATTATTATTATTAACTATACTGCGAGAAGGTATCTAATGTAATTGTAAATTAATATCTTACCCAATTAATAGTTGATAACGTAATATCCAATTCCCCGTTCAAGCTCATGGGACATGTCCAATGTTAACATTTAATCTGACGCCTTAATCCGCGATTTAATCGAATTTTCGTGGGTTCGACGTACCTCCTGAAATTCCAATACTGATACACTAAACTTTTATTATACATACATAAAACATATATACAATTCAATATATATAGATGTCGATGAAGAAAGAGAATTGAAGAGAAAGCTGACGAATACGGATTTCGCGAGATCGAACCGATGGATTCCCGAGTGTAGCACTGTCATATATATGTATTTACAGTATATTTGAGGGTGGTTGAGTTAGTGAAGTTGAAGGATATAGAAGAGGTGGAGAAGAACAGGAGTTCTCCATCTCGAATGCTTGTAGAATTTCGTGATTTTCTCAACAATTCGTGCGGCTATCCCCAGTCAAGAGAAAGAGAATACCAATATTACCGAGTTCAACTAGTCTGAGCCGCAATTATGGCATTTTTTTGCCTTGTTTCTTCATCTCGTCTTATCTCATCAGTCGTTTATTTACACTCTGCCAATTTTTACGGACATCTTCTGCTTCGATTCGGTCATAATCAATAATAAAACTCAATTAATAATTAGGCTAATGCTATTATTTCTTCATTACTGGTTAATGATCCGGATTTTATTTCGTAATCAAAAAGATCTATAAATACAGCGATACACTAATTGAAGCGAGTAATACAAGGCGTAAAACATTTGTAACATAACTTTTTTTTTCGGTTGGTAATATTTGTTACGGTTCGATTATCATCATCAGTGAAAATGATTGTGTTATGTTAATTATCATTATCAGATTTCGAGAGTATAATCAATACTGGTTGGATTAGTTTTCATGTTTAAACGCAAATAACAATTAGTACATAATTGTAATAAGATTTTCATTAAATTAAAAATCATTATAAATTAAATCATTTATTTCATGATAAATTTTTTGGTTATTAGTAACTTAACTTAATTTAATTACTTCAATAATTTGATCAATTATTAAATTGTTTAAATTATTTTAAATTAAAATAAAGAATTTTTACGAATTTTGGGAAGACTTAAGTATACACAAAAAAAAATTGACTTGATTCTAGAGAACAATTTTTGAATCAATGAAAATATTTTTATTGTTTTTGATCTGAACTCCGATGACGAAATCGACGTGCTGGGTCCAGTTAGCGTCGCGAACGGTGTTCCTCCACCCCCGCCGCCCATGGCCAATAACTCAAATGGAATCGGACGTGCTCCCCCGCCTCCACCACCCGCCAACAACGCGGGAAAATTTCCACCGCCATTCCCCAATGGACCGCCACCGCTCTTTGGAGTTAACCTCAAATCCAACAGATCTCTCTCAGCCAACCCCATGGACCCTAACAGCAACTCAAACAACTCCACTGGTGGTGTCACCAATAATTCGAGTGGCATTAAAACACACCCTCAGACAGCCATCGCCAAGAAGAATAAAAAGACCGTGAAACTTTTCTGGAAGGAAGTTAGGGATGATCCCATCATTTTGTCACGTCTTGATAAAAATATCATGATATGGGACGAGTTGATTCCTGTTGCTATTGACACTCAGAAACTTGAGCATCTCTTTGAAAGCCGAGCCAAAGATCTCATTACAAAGGTAAGAATAAAGTTTATTTCATTTTTGAATAAACTAAGATTATTATTTTCAATTTATTGGTACAGTTATTTTTAGAAAATTTAATCAAGGTTAATCGGACATTAAGATAATTTATAGCTGAAGTTTTTAAATATTGTTATCGAACTTAACGTATGAAATAATTTTTTGAAAAAAATTGATCAAGAATTTTCGTATAATTAATTATTAAAAATCAAACTTTTGATCTATAATAATTGTTAGAAAAAAAAAATACTCTGACTGCTTTATTAATTTTTTAATAACAAAAATTTTTATTTATAAAATAATCATGAGTAAAAGTGATCTAGTGATACACAGTAAGAAAAATTTCTTGACCGGAGAACAAAATTCTTGCTCAAGTGAACTTTTTTTGTGTAGTCCGAAAGAAAATCATGCTTGTCTCATTTCAAAATATAGAAACTGCAGAATTTTTTCACTTATTATTATTATTGTTACATTTTTGATAACCTTAAGTAAACAATCTCACATTTTTTTATTTTTTCAAATCTCTTGTCTATCTTCTCCATACAAATTGAATTTTTTATCAGTTTAAAGTGTAAAATATGTTTTGAAATGAGGCAGCCGAGCAGCACTCGTGAATAAGGAAAAAAACTATCTGTCGTGTCCGAACAACCTTAATAAATTTTATAAATATTTCTTATGAAAAGAAACAAGAACTTCAATATAAAGCACACTATCAATGCTGCGTGTTCGTAAAGGTGCAATTAATTTAAGCTTTGAAAATTTTCTCATTTATTCATTGATTTATATTATATATTATATAAAACGCAATTAAATCTAAGCTTTTAATTGATGTGAACGAGACGAAATACGAGTTTGTATTATTTATTTTATCGCCACACATTATTCGTCAAAACCAATAATTGGCGTAAGCGCAGAACAGATGAAAATACTAACGAATTAATTAGTTAACTGATTGGTTTAAAGTCTGAAAATATAATTAAAAAAATATCTTTCATGCGGTGTAATTATTACTGCAAATATTTTTTTTTTTTCACCGTTACTCTCAAAAACATATATTTTTTTAACGCGAGGCGCATTCATAGCCGGATTCAAATGTGTTTTTAACGAATCCGTCAACGAATAGTAATTGTAGCGTGCGACTGCTTTTACGGAATCTCGCAGGGTTGAGTGAGCAAACAAAATTTATACTTTTTTTGCTTTTACTGCCTCCGCTGCGTCACTTTTTTTTGTCAACTCCTACCCCAGTTCGACTTTCCAGTAGAGTACAGTCCCAGGAGAATTTTTTTTTCCATTTCCCTTTTGGTAGTTTGTTTTTTTTTCTTTATTATTTATTTTTATTTTCTCAATTTAAACTCTGCGCTGCTCAAGCTCTTAACGCTATCGCCTATTTTATGACAAGCTGTTTCATAAGTACGATTCCCGGGTGCTGGTTTGGTATGGGTACCGTTAATTACTCGGGGCTGTAATTGCGTCAGAGAATTGTCGGTTCTATGTATTTACATACACGTCCGCCATAAGCGCGCAGACCCTTTTTGTTGTTAGCATTACAATGATAACTATAATAATAATAATAATAACAATAATAATAATTATAATAATAATAATAATTATTATTATTATAACGAGGCTATTTTTTTGTAAATTTACTTTTTGTTCCATTTAATTAGCCTCTTTAGCGGAGTTAAAAATGAACTGGGTGATTTTGAGGACTTGCGGCAGCTCATTAACCAATTAGCTCCCATAAACAGCCCATTGAATTCTCTTTTCACATTTATTATTATTATTATTATGTGTCATTATAATAATTATTTTGAGTAATAGCGCTATCGGGGTAAATTGAGCGAAAATAATGAGGCACTGATATAGTGATAAAGACCTCGACAATTTGTTACCCAAAGTTTTGACGTTAGATCCTAGTATATACACAAATAGCTTATGCTTATATTAAGACACTATACTTTAGCATTATACTTATTGTAGGGTATGAGGGTTTCGTGACAGTATGATCAAGACAATCTTTAACAAAAACAAACTCTTGCTTTATAACTTATTTAAAGTTTCATAGCCTGACGTTCTTGCGCTCTATAAAACGTCACCCGTAAACTATTTCTTTGCACTGATATTGCATGTTTTTTTTTTATTTCATCGACCGGCTTTGACAATTAAATTATTTATTTAGTTTTAAGTTTTATATAATTTTATTTATGTTAAAGATAAAAATTAATGATACACTGAGAGAAAAAATTTTCAACTATTTTATTTTTTATCTAAAAAATTCAACATTTTTTTCACAATAATATTCTAAAAAAAAAAAAAATTATTTGATTTAGAAAAAAAACAATTTGTGAATTTTCGTCTGAAATTGTATTTTTTCCCAATCGAATAAATTTTTTTTCACTAATAAAATTATCGTGAAAAAAAATTTGATTTCTTCAGCTAAGAAATAAAATTATTTAAAATTTGCAACAAATTAATTTCTTGTCACAAGTGCTCAAATTTTTTTAAAATAAATTTTTTATCAAAGTACATTATTTGTATCGAGGAAAACAATATGATGATCCAAATAATTTACTTACAAATTTTCATCCGGAGATTAAATGTTTATATTAAAATCATATGCATATTTGATTGTTTGTCTTAAATGTTGGAACGCTTCACGTAATAATTATCTGTAACTCCTATTCTTTCCCGCTTCACAGCATTATTTATATTTGTTAAAAATGCTAGCCGTAAGATGGACGGTGTGGCTTAATGTATATAGAATAAGTGAAAGAAAATTTAGTATAGACCGGATAGCTCAAATGGTAGAGTAGCCGACATGTCTTCGGAAGGTTCTGGGTTCGAATTCCAGTCCGAGCTATCTAATAATTTTTTCTCGCATATTCTATACACTCACATTAAGATGATCCTCTCCACAATCCTTTCTCTAATCCTTTCCTACCAAAATATCCTGTTACGTAAGTAAAATTTTTGAATATCACAAAATTTACTTCAGTCAAGAATAATTTTTCAGTACAAGAATTTTTCTATTTAAATGATGATGAGGGTCTTCAAAAGGATTTTTTTGGTTAAAGAATTATTCTCTTGAATCAAGACAATTTTTTTTTACTGTATATCCAAAAAATTTAATTTCAATCTTGAAAATTTTTTACAAAAGCTAGAAAAATAATTATTTAAAAAAAAAAAATTAACATAAATTTTCATTCTAATCAATTAATAGATTAAATGTAATCATCAATATCTTTCCAAATGTTAACTTTATTAATTAGTGGCTATTAACCCAAAAATATAAAAAGGAAAATGAATTTTTTTGATAAATTAAAAACTTAGTTATTATAAATAATACAATATCCCCGATCTCTTTCACTAAAACATCGAGCACTTACACAAAAAATTAAATGACGCTCATTTCAGAGTAATTTAAAATTAAAAATGTTAAGTGCTTTTAATAAACGCACCCAAACAATTATCTTAATTATACTCCTAAAAAAAAAGTAAATAAAAATAATAATTAAAAGTAAAATTTTTTCTTATTGCAGGAGGATAAAGATCTAGTGCACGAGTTTGTGCAAAATGACGGGCTGGCATGTCTCATCAAGGTCGGGAATGAAGCGGACCAGAATTACCAGAATTACATACTCAGAGGTGAATACTAAATTGCAATCCATTAATATTTATGTTTACACATAATCAATGTACCGTACACTGGATATTTAACCGATGTGATATGATATCGGTTACCACCATACTAGCTATTAAACTCTTGTAGACGAAATATCAGTGGTGCACGGTGTGTGGTGTAAGTTTAAGAGTCGATAGAGAGAGGAAGAGAAAGAGATGAAGGCTTAGTAGAGTTTATGCAAGCATTTATTGGTTATTTGCCACGTGCAATTTGCCCAGTTGAGCAACTATTAATTACATTAAATAGTCCATCTCAAAGTTCGCTGGTTCCTCGGTACAGTCTTAGTCACAAATTCGGGTAAATCACTCCAAGTTATAGTTATAGATATAGCGATAGTCGTAGTTTAAGATCCATCAGGCTTAAGTGCATAAGCTTATTATCGAGGAGATTCAAAGCCAACGTTTCTGACTTCAGCGATCACTGGCTCGTAAGGCACCGGGTTTCAGCTAGTCAATCCGACCCCGGCTAATTTCATTCCTTATAATCGGTCCGTCTCACTAATTCTATTTGACCTACGGTCTAATAATATCGATTTTGTTCTATTCAATTGAATGTGAAGATTTTTTAATAGATTTTATTGAAATCTAAATATTGTACACTGATGAAAAAATTAACTTGAGTCAAAAGAAAAAAATTTTAAACCAAAAATATTAATTTTAAGAGTTTCATTGCTGTCAGCCACATCTGACCATTTTTTTTTAATAAATTAGTACTAAAAAATATTTTAAAAAATCGTAATCATAGTTGGATATTATACTCACCCATAGTCAATTTATGATGATAAGTATTTAGGCTATATTCGAAAATGCTCTATCTCTAGATACATAATTAAGAAATGACCTTGTATCTCGTGAACTATTGGCATTTTCAAAAATACAAGCTCATCCTGATGTTACACTCTTCAAGAGCTTTCATTTGAGTACCCACATCAATTTTTCATATATTTTATATATTTATATATATATATATGAATATATGAATATATGAAAAATATATCAAAATGCATGTGGGTACTCAAATGAAAGCTCTTGATAAGTGTAACATCGTGATGAACTTATATCTTTGAAAATATCAATAGTTAAGAAAGTACAGTACAATTTAACATCATTAAGAAACGACCTTGTACCTTGTGATCTATTGACACTTTTAAAGATATAAGCTCATCCCGATGTTACACTCATCAAGACCTTTCATTTGAGTACCCACATCAATTTTATATCTTTAAAAATGTCAATATTTAAGAAAGTACAGTGCAATTTAACAAAAGTCATTACTTAATAAAGCAAAATTTTATTTATTTATAGTTCACAAGTCACGGCAGTCACATAGTGACTGCAAGATTGCTAGTTTTCTTATTAAGAAAAGTATCAGAAATTGTAAGCTGTTAGATTCATAAATTCAAACTTTCAGTATTAAATCTGATGAAGAAAACTTCAATTTTTACATCATTACAATTGTTTACAATAAAAATTTCTGTTATATTTGATAAGATTTCAATACTGCTGCCAAACAATTTTTTTTTTAAATAAAATTCATCGGGTCATTGAGATTTTTTTGCTAAAAATAAAAATGAATATAATAACGTGTTTATTGGCAAACAGGAATCATTAATTAATATGAGTATTAATGACTATCAAAAAATACGACGGTACGTTATTGCGTACAGCTGTTGTCCGATGATAATTTATTGGGTCTTTCATCATCATAAATTGAAGCCAATTAATTTTAAAAAAATTAATTACTGTAATATTCAAAATTTATTATTGGTGAGCTCCGAGTCAATTTATTGTAATTAATGTCGGGTGAATAAAGTGGGAAAAATCCCGCAACGGATGCTCATTTAATAAATTCATTGGTTGCGGTTTTTTAAATTTATTCCTTTGTATAACAGTAAGAGATTAATATAAACTCTTGCAGATTTTTTGAACATGTATTTAGTGAGGAAAATGAATAAACAATTCTCTAATTGTTTTCCATTAGAACAACCGGTGTATAATTAAATATATTAATATTACAAACCATAAAAGCAATTAAATATTATAGCTCTTAATATATAAAATTTTAATTATAATAATTATCGACGCACCAGTAACAGCGATTAAATATTGATAAATAGTAATATCAGCGCGTATAATATTTACAAATTATAACGCTTCGTTAATTCAATCTAGGACTAATCAGCTTTTACGTAATCACTCGCGGTTTGTGTAATAATAACGTTTGTAGTTTAAAGCACGATTATCTGCATTCGAGCAAGCATCCAGCAAACCGGGCTGCCGTCCGAGCACTCCTACCAACAGTCACCCATATAATTGAGTAGATTTCACGAGAGTGAATCCTCAAAATTATTTTAAATTATCTCCCGAATTCCCAATTCATTTTACGCTCGATTTACCCTTCAGTATCATTTTTTTAATTACAATCACAAAAAAAAAATCCTAGAGCATTGTTTTGCGTCAGAGTTTGTATAAGCTTCTTTTTTTTCTTCTTTCATCAAATTGAAAAAATTTTCCTTTGTCATATCATTTCTACGCAGAAGGAAACATGGCAAAAAAACTCCTTGGAATTTTCACGAGATTAATTAATCATAGAATTAAAATTTCATTCTGTATTCATTTAAATTTCATTCTTTTGATATTATTATTTTGATATAAAATATTAATTACTTCCAGTTGTCATTTTAATAGTTTATTCATTTTTAATGAAGGAATTGATTAAGACGTACTTCTTTAAATATTTCATTTCATTTTTCTCAATAGAATTTTACTTACAAAGTAATTATTCGAAAGATTATAAAAAATTAAATTGTAACACGAATGTAGAATGATAATTATTATTTAAAAATTAGAGAAATTATTGTCTATTATTTATTATTTATAATTCGATATTTAGAATTTAAGTTTGGATATACGTAAATAAATTTATTGTCGAAATTTAATGAACCAGTGAACAAATTAAAGAACAAAAAACAACTTTTTATTACAAGCATAGCTTAAAAGTAAAAACTTATAAATATAATAAAGTTTATTATTAAAATCGAAGCAAATTTAATAAAATGAAAAATTTTGATCAATTATCGAAGTAAATACTCAACAGCATTTAAATGAGTTATTTTAATTTCTATAGATAATAATGATCATCATCATTCTTTAATCAGTTACAATATTACATAGAAATTATTTATTTATTTATTCATTTGACGCCAATCAGCATTACACAACAATTAGTACATTCTTTAAATTATAAGATATTAATTATAAATTTAAAAATCTTAAAATTTTGGCTCGAAAATGATACACAAATTATTACCATACTTACAAAAAATATACTTAATTTAAAAGAAAAAATTTTGAATCAAAAAAATCATTTTGAAAAATTTTTTCGTCTTGAATCAATATAAAAAATTTTTGAACTAATAATAAATTGTAGTAACTTTTAACTGATTTAATAATTTATCTTTTTAAATGAAGACAATAAACTTATCTAAATTGATATACTCTTGGATCAAGATTTTTTTTTCTCGAATCAAGTTAATTTCTTTATCACTGCAAAAAAATAGCAATGAATTCTATTTTATAGAGTATCATTTACGATTTTAAAAAAGTAAAGCTGGTTACTTATATTATGTAGAATGGTAAATGTAACCACTTTATTTTCTCCATGTAAGACACCAGTAACTTTGAAATGAACTAATAAAAAAGTAAATGAAGCTCTGCGAAGACAATTTCGGTGTATATGTAGTATTTTTTCATTTAATCGCGAGATGAGACGTATGAAATAACAAAAAGTATCAAGCATGACTACTCCACTACTTTTAGGAAGTATAACTACTTTAGTAACATCTACCCCTATTTTTTACAACTATACAAAACACACAGAGTGTGCGTATGTACATTTCACCCTTCATAAATCGTGAGCGACTTGGGTCAGAAGTGGTAGCAGCCCGGAGAAAGAAGGTGGATGCGTGAACAAGTTGAAGTGAGACTTACAAGTGCCTCGAAAGAGACAGGAGGCAAAAGAGCCTGCCGAGAGTATAAGGTGACAAGAGGGTGTGAGGATAAGGATAAAAGTACCGACTAGGGAAAGGGAGGACATAGAAGGTACCAGGGAATCGGGATGCTGTAAAAGCGACTATAACAAATGGGCTGGAACTTGTATACGAAGCATAGTTTAATTAAAGTTACTTCGTCCGGCGGTAGCATGTTGCAATTTAGAAAAGTAAAAAAAGGATTAAAAAATTCAGACCAACCCCTTCGCGCGATGGAATGACTCAACCTCTACTCGCTTGATTCCCATTCTCATCTAGTCCTCTAGTTCTCATCCTCATCCACTTGCTGGTTCTCTGCTTCTGCTCCTGTTCTTGTTCTGTTACCGCCTCAACCTCATCCTCGTTCTCGTCCTCGTTCTCGTTCTCGTTCTCGTTCTCGTTCTCGTTCTCGTTCTCGTTCTCGTCCTCGTCCCTTTCGGGGTGTGCATTGATTAAGCCGTGAAATAATTCACACTACTCTTCCCACATCCCACCTGCAGAGAAAGACTATAACCGGGCTTTCATCGCGATAATAATTACACCGTAGCTATTAAATATATATTTTATATTTAATATCCACCTTTCAATTTAATTTTATACTTACTGCCCGATCATCTGTTTGATTAATTTTATTTAATTATCTGTTATCGGTTTAAATTTTTCTTTAGTTTTTTTATCGGTTTAAATAACTTTTTTTTTTTCAACTGACTTAATTTATGATCATCTTATTTAATTATCAATAACAGTTTATAAAAAATTTGGATAATAATTCGCGTTTTAAAGCCAAAAGGACGTATAAAAAAAAAATTTTTTTTAGTCTGCCTTTTTAAATTTAAGACGAAAAATTATTAAAAAAAAATTTATGTACATAAAAAAAAATTCTATTTTTATTTTTTTAATTTTTTAAAATTGAACATTTGAATTTCTGGCTATGGAAATTAAATTAAAATTTTATAAATACGGTCATTTTTTTTTTTAATTACATTTTTAATATCCCAACAATCTCTTTGTTAAAAAAAAATTCTATTTACAACGCTTGATAAAGTCCTGAAAAGAACGAAGCGTTGTACAAAGATAATAAATGAATCATTTAATAACACATAATTACTATCCAAAATTTCCCCAAAGCTATTATTGACTTTTATAAAAAATTTTTTTCTACAATACAACTAAAGTATGTAAATAACTTGGGGATTATTACACTCGAGAAAGAAAGTATCGCAGAATTTTTTATGCATTTTGTTTCGCTTTTTGCTAGAGTAAAATTTCAAAGTGAAAAAAGCTTTATTATATATGAATAAATTAACCCTTCAGCAAGTTACTGCCTTTGAAAAAAGCTTGATACAACTCGAGTTATTTTCATCCTTAGAGCTTTTGTTGTAAATAAAATTTCACATCTCAAACATTTCTTTTGAAAATTTACACCCGCTGTTAATTCCATAATGATAATGAATTATTCACATTTTATGAGTTAATTAAAGTTTTCAGTTAGATAAAGTAAACACAATTTATTAACAAAATTTTATTTTATAAAAAAAATTCTACTGCTACTTAATTTAATGCAGTACCAAAAAAGACCATTCGGCAGTCGAAATGGAAGTAGATTTCATCATAAATAGAAAAAATAATGGATTTCTAGTAAACCGGCGATTAAAACCTTATTTCACCCTAACTCGTTATTTGTTTACATACTGCTGGTGTACAGTAAAGAAAAAAAAAAACAAAAAAACGAGTGCAATAGCAAATTTCATAATTGGCATAGCGGAATAGGACATAATTTTGGGACTACACATATGATATGGTACTCAAATTGAAGCTTATTTAAAGAGCTTTCAGATGCAATTTACATAAATTCGATAAATTATCCCATTCAAAAGTTATTGAAGGACGAAAATGGAGAAATGTTAATTTTTATGATTTTTTATGACTTTGAAAATTTTGAAATCATGGCATTTCTAAATTACTTGACCGATTAAGCTCATCTTCGAACTTGACCTCGGTATCTATCTGTAGAATAAGTATGTTGAGTTTGATAAAGATCCATTGTAAATTGGCGACGCTATCGTGGTAACAAGCCGCGTTATATCGTATATATATATATATATATAAATATATATATATACATACATATATAAACTTTTAAACCATATGTATTTTCTGACTCAGCTCGTCGAGTTATGTCGGAATATAGCAAAATTTTTCAAAAGTTTTGTCATGAGGACCATTGCAATAGTTATGAAATCTACTAAAAATTGATTACTTTTCAATACGAATAAATTTTTCTGTAAGTAAATAACTTTTTACTCTCTTTGAGTAATATTCCGTCAGATCGTCTATCAGCTTCTATCAATACCTTCAGCAGACGATTTATGCAGGTACAAAAAATATTTTCATTTCATAGATTTTATTAAAGAGAAAAAATGAATTTTCTGCAAACACAAGTCACAATTTTAACTTGCAATAATTTTTAATTAATTATAATTAAAATTCTTGAATTGGATTTAATTAAAATAAAAAAATTGTTAGTAATAATAATAAATAACTTGGAAAGAAAGTGAATTAAATAAAGGGAGTAACTAACGAAAAAAAAGGTTGATTAAAATAGATAGGAATGGGTGAAATAAAAAGGTTGAGGAGCGAGCATTCATTGAGGTTATTTGTCAGTAGGATTTAGGATTCCCAGTGTCAGCAATTAAACGTACACAAAACGATCTATTGTATCCGGCTAAATAGGGGGTTATCCAAAAGCAATTTAAAATAGCAGGTCAGAAGAAAATGCCGGAATTTACGTATAGTAAACACTTGTTAGCGGGATTTTGTTCGCACTCGCACGCGATCCACCATTGGAGGTTCAGTTCTGCTTCTCATTTGCCGGGTTGGAGCCGTTCCACTAAACTGTACACTATAGCCGTTTTATACTAATACAACGAGCCATTGCAGTCGCAATTGAACCACTACACGGTCCACGGGCAAGCTCCAGCCAAAATGTGTGATACCAGCACAGTATAGCCAAGTAAAACAGAGACAGAGCACCCTCCGAAACTTTACGAGGCACTCGACAACGCCTCTGCTCGCAAATAGGAGCTTTTTGCCGACGCGAGCTTTATCGTTTTGGTGTAATTCCTCCCGGTGAGATGGAAGAGCTGACCGGAATTGGGCCGAACGAGGACCTGGACAGGGGAGGCCAACGGTTCCTTCCCTTTGCAACTTAAACTTCAACGTTCTATTAACTGTGTCACCTAAATGTTCACCTAGGGAGTCTCATCAAAGTTACCACTCGATCCAGTGAGCCCGATAAATACATTCGCGATCAAACTACAGGCTCCTAAGTCTGCTCCTGACGCTGAAACTTTTATCCTACTTGACCCTTTTATCACTCCAATGAACCGCTGAAAGTTTATCCAAACTGGGGTTTCATTATCGGGTTAATTCATCAATTCATTTGGAGACTCAATGACCTCTGGACCCCGCCACCCTTCATAAATTTAATTAAAGGAACTTCATTTGCTTCTATTGGTTACTATTTATCACTGTTTTATTACCTCCAACTTTCTTGGACGGCTAATTATTTCTTTCTAATTGTTTCAAAGTTTTAATGAGCGGTAATAATGGCTAGAAAATTTCTATTGTGATAAAAAAAATTATTTTGGTCCAAAGAAATGTTCTTTTAGGTCAAAAAATTTCTTTTTTTGAAAAGAGTTTTTATTTTGCTCAAATTATAAAGTTGGTGATATTTAGAACTAATATTACTACGGATTTTAATCCAAGAGAAATAATTTTTTTGATGAAGAATTTGTTTTTGTGTCTTTTCTTCAAAAACAGTAAAAAGCTTATTTAGAATGAAATTTTTCTGAAGAATTTTAATTTTTTTTACTCAAGAGTGAATTTCTTGAATTAAAAGAACTTAATAGCTACCCTTATATTTTTATAATTCAACTTTTGCTGTTAGAAATTTACGGGTGTCGTTTCTTGATACAATAACTGACATTTCAAAATTTACATTCTAAATTGATAAAAAATTTGATTTCGACATCGAATAAATATAAATAAAAAATTTTTTAAGAACAAAAACATCATAATGTTTACTTTAAGTACTGAAAAAATTCAAAAATACTCAAAAAAAAAGTGTGAGTAAGAATTTTGCAGCTACTCTGTTTTGAAATGAGACAGCTGTAAATTTTTTAAAGCAAAAGTAAAATTTTGAGCAATGTAGTTTTGTTTTGCACGCCTCATAAGCAAATCGTTTCTCTCTCCACATCTCAAAAAAAGCAGTGTTCTCGAAATTGATCTTTTTTTACTTATATCGCACTAACAGAATAATATGAGTGCTCTTATATCCAGTCAAATAATCTCCCAGGTACATAAAATATAATTCGATAACAATTATTTTGTTTAACATAGTAAATGATAACATTAAAAATAATCTTTTGTGTTTATGGATCCGTGTATGTGGCAGGGAAATTGGTCGAAAAAATTATCGTACCGAAATAATTTTTTTTCTATCATCTAAAGTAACACTGTGTACTTTTTCAATTAATACGGGCGTTCAATTCACTGTCGTTTAATTATTATTTATAAAAAACTAAGATACGACTGTGCATTTGTACATCTATGAATACATTTTATTGTAGTATTTTTTTTCCTCACCTTAGAATTATGGTGCCACTAAACCATTACAGAGTTTTCTAGTTTTATTATTTTATTTTAATCAATTTTATTGTGAAAAATGAGATTATGAGGCGTGCACTTTGTGGATTTTTCAAACTTTTTTAGTTTACAATACATTAAACATATTCAAACACAATTGTACAATCTCTGATCATAATTAAAAAGTAACCCTTTGAAATAATAATTTCCAGCTTTGGGTCAAGTGATGCTCTACGTAGACGGAATGAACGGGGTGATGGAGCACGGTCAAACAGTACAATGGCTGTACACTCTAATAGCGAGCCGATTTCGCCTGGTGGTGAAGACAGCGCTCAAACTGCTCCTCGTCTTTGTAGAGTACGTCGAAACCAATAGCCTGCTATTAGTGAGGGCTGTCAGATCAGTAGACACCTCACGTGGCATGATCCCCTGGACCAATGTTATGAAGCTCCTCAAGGATTACGACGCAGCCGACACTGAGCTACTCATTTACGCGACGACACTCGTCAACAAGTGCCTGAATGGCATTCCGGACCAGGATACTTATTACGACCAGGTCGACTGTCTAGAGGAGCAGGGGATCGAGGGCATTATCCAGCGCTATATGTCCAAGCAGGGCACCGATCTCGATCTCCTCAGGCAGTTTCAAATTTACGAGGCCGTTTTGCACCACGAGGACGGCAATGACCGCGGCTCGCCCATCCGACAGCTCGACGATAATATCAGGTGATTTATTCTTAACTTGAATTTAAATCCTTTATCTTCCATCTAATTCAATTGGTTACTTGTCGAAATATCTAACGCTCCAATATTTATTGCTATCCTCTATCTATATTATATCATTTTAACTTCAATAAAAAGTTAATTAAAAAGTATTAATTAGATAAATCAAATCATTAGTTCGTTAATTAACTAAAAATTAAGAAAGTTTTATCTATCTATCTATCTATACTAATATATCTATATATATATTTATCAGAAGTTGGAAAAACTTTTTTTATCGGAAGGGTTTGATAACTTTTTAAGAAAAAAAAATTTTTAAATCAATAAAATATCTCGATAACAAGGTTTTTTGATAAAACTGTTCGTCTAATTAGATTGAGATAATTTTAGAACTTCAAAAAAATATTTTATAAAAATTTCGAAATTAAACGAAAAAAATTTTTAAAAAAGTGCCATTTGACAGACGAAATGGAAGTAGATTTGAAATTTTTATTTTATTTTTTTTATTAAAAAATTATGATTGTGATGATTACAAAAAATTTTATAAAACGAATGCAATAGCAATTTTCATAATTATCATGGTGGAATAAGACTTAATTTTAAGACTACACATATGATATGGTACTCAAATTGAAGCTCATTTAAAGAGCTTTCAGATGCAATTTACAGAGATTCAATAAGTTATCCCATTCAAAAGTTATTCGAGTAAGAAAGTGAAAAAATATGAATTTTTATGATTTTAAAAATTTTGAGATCCTGGCATTTCTAAATTACTTGATCAATTAAGCTCATCTTCGAACTTGACTTCGGTATCTATCTGTAGAATAAGTATGTTGAGTTTGGTAAAGATCAGTTGTAAATTGGCGAAGCTATCGTTGTGACAAGCCGCGTTATATCTGATATATACATACATATATAAACTTTTGAACCATATGTATTTTCTGACTCAGCTCGTCGAGTTAAGCCGGAATATAGTAAAATTTTTTAAAAGAAATCTACTAAAAAACTCAAAAGTTTCTTTGACCTTACATAATATTTGAAGTAAATTTATAAAAAAATTATTGAAAATATTTTTTTTTATAATTTTCAATTTATTACAAAAATATATACCTATTTAAAAAATATTTATTATCCATATTATTGAAATAAAAAATGGAAATTTTGAATTTTTTACCTCAAAATATATAAATATTAAAGGTTAAAATTTTGACCGGCTTTTGATTTTAGCATTTTCTTTTTGACAAAAAATTCAAAGATTGTTAAAAAAATTTTTTTTATTTTTTATATTTTATACTATAGCAGTAATTATTTATTATTAATAAGTTAATTGTGTTACCTTGGTATTGATTTTTCACCGGATATTCAAACTTTTAACCAAGCTATCTGTTTAATATTGGATTATTTACTTATTTACTTATTTATTTTGGAATAAATAGGAAAACATTGCGAAGCAGAAAATCACTAGTGGATTCACATGAGCGACGTAAATCACGACGACATTCAACAGGAACTTCACCACTCTCGATGTCTCTAAATTCGCGTTTAAGTCCACGTTTAAATCACTCGCTAGGGCTGAATTCACTGAACGGAACATTTAATTCCGGCATACCGACGCCGGTTGACGACGACGACGAATCGAGCAGTTCCCAGAGTTCACAGGGCCTCGATGTCCAGCTTAACGGTAGTTACAAAGAAAATAAAGACGACGCAGGAGTAACACCGGCACTTAGACGGCGACGTGAGCGTGCCGAAAGGCAGAGGAGTTTCATCCGAGAACAACAGGAAGCGACAGCTAATATGAGAGCGTCAATCGGAAATTTGGACGGCAGCGAAGGTGAGTTTAACTTTTCATTTATTTTATCTTTAATTTTAAACTTTTTATCGCGCACTAGCTGAAAGTTTTATTGAACGTTGACGAGGTAGTTTATATTTTTTTTATTTTTTATGGTCTGACACAGCGCCCGCGTACGTATCGAATGGGCTAAGATACACGAACGGGTCTTCAGCTTACGACCGGAACAGCGATTCCCCCAGCAATAAAGTACCCCGAGCAAACAGCCGCAAGGATCTTACACCCTTGATGAACGCCGCTAACAAGCTTGATTCCGAGGAAAAGAAACCACCGGCCCAATCGCCTTCTCCGGTAGTGTGGTACGGGAAAAACCCAGATGAAACTACCGGTGGTATCGAATGCAATGAGCTGCTCAATCACACCACCAATGAGGACGAGGATCGCCGGGTTCTTGTACAAATTAAACGCGAGGGTACTGTTAAAGATCTAACACAAAAGCTCGCTGCACAGAATTTAATACCCAGCAGTCCTGTCGAGGATAAAGTGTCTAGGTACTTTTATTTCTTAATTAACAGTTAACTTTATTCGTTTGCTGCTATTAACCTCCGGCGTACTTGTGTTTCACTCCTCGTTTTATTTTATTCTTCTCGCTCTTCGCCATTACTTGTTGCTAATATTTTATTTATTACTAGCTAGAATTTCCATATATTTTGTTTAGCTATAAAACTTTTCAATGAATAGTGTACTGAAGAATAATAAGACGTAGTTGAGAAATATTTGTGATGAAATTTAAAATATACGATTCAATCCAAAATTTTGTCATATTAATCATTGTTTTAGGAAATTTTTTAAGTATTATTTAAAAATGGGATTTGTAAAAAATAAAAAAATTAACTTTTTTTTTTTGATTTTACTATTTTCTGCAGCGAATTTATGTATCTAGAGTGAAAAATGATGAAAAAAATTTTTTAACTTTCTTGAAAAACTTATAAATTTTACTGTTCGATCAAGAATTTAAAGATGATGAAATAATCTATATTATTAAGAGAATAAGAAAAATTTTGTTTCCAGGATAAATAAAATCAGTTTTTTAGTGAAATTTAGTGTCATTGCTCTATCTCTAGAAATCTCTATGAAAATGCTCTATCTCTAGATACATAATTAAGAAATGACCTTGTATCTTGTGAACTATTGACATTTTTAAAGATATAAGCTCATCCCGACATTACACTTATCGAGACCTTTCATTTGAGTACCCACATCAATTTTTCATATATTTTATGTATTTATATATATTATATATATGTATATATAAAAAATGTATGTGGGTATTCAAATGAAAACTCTTGATGAGTGTAACATCGGGATGAGCTAATATCTTTAAAAACGACAAAATTCAAAAAAAGCTGTATAATTAAGAAATGACCTTATATTTTTTAAACTATTGACATTTTTAAAGATATAAGCTCATCCCGATGTTATACTCATCGAGACCTTTCATTTGAGTACCCACATCAATTTTTCATATATTTTATATATTTATATATATGAATATATGAAAAATATATCAAAAATACATGTGGGTACTCAAATGAAAGCTCTTGATGAGTATAACATCGGGATGAGCTTATATCTTTCAAAATGTCAATATTTACGAAAGTACAGTGCAATTTAACAAAATTCATTATATTTAATAATTTATCTAATAAAGCAAAATTTTATTTATTTATAGTTCACAAGTCACGGCAGTCACATAGTGACTGCAAGGTTCCTAGTTTTTCATTATCTAATAATGATAAACATCAAAATTTATTGATAATTTTATTTTCGTTACAAATATCTCTTAGCTAGAATTTATTACCCGATGATTTTTTATTTTCAATAAAAATTAAAAATTAATTCTCAGTATTGAAAGGTCAAATCTCTAGAAGTTCAAATTTAAAAATTTAAATTGTCATAATTCAATTTATGAAATTCATTAGGTCGGTCACTTACAATTAAAATTTAAAAATAAAATAATTAGTATTAATAAATTATTATGTAAAAAATTTATATAAAATATAATTTTACACAATAATATATAATATTATAATTTTACATGATAAATTATTAAGGAAATCCTTTCGCTCCAGTTGAGTCAAAACAATTGTAGTAGTCAATATACGATAAATTAAAAAAAGAAACCCATAAAAATTCCTAAAATTAAATAATAAATAGTATATGAGGCATTAATCGTTGAAATTTTAAAAATAAAAAAAAAAAAATAGTTAAATATAAAAATTAATTTGACTCTTTCAAATCAACTGCTAGTAACCTGTCCGTAATTTGGCAACGCTGTACTTCGGTTGTTTAAATTTTCATTTGCACAATATAACCTTAACCACGTTTAAATTTTTGCACTCAGTGTAAATAAATAAATTAGTTTGAATTTATTAAATGGTCTGAAGCTCGCGCGCTACGAAATGTTGCCAAATGTTTTGATTCCATTTTAATGTAGGTTACTTGAGAATTTTTTGGGATTTTTAAATATTAATTTCTCAATAAATATCTCGGTAACTGATATATATTTTATTGCAAAAAAAGAAACCTCAATATTTCGAAAATCTAATTTTTAGTTTTTTTTTACTACATCTAATCCATGACTGATAGTATAATTCAAGAAATACTGCAAACGTCTGACTTTCTCGTAAAACTCTGAACAAATACTAACATTTAAAAATTTTATTTTTTCAAAAATTTGTCCAGTAAAGTATAATTTAAACCTCACTATTAAATAAATAAGGACCTTAACTATTAGAAAAAAACTGAATTTACTCATAATCTAATATTTTTTATTTTACATTGGCGGCGAAAAGACCTCCTTAATTATTGAGAAAATATTTCGTAAATATTTTAAAATAGGTAAAAAGTCCTTTTATCAGTGTAATAAATTATGATAATCAATCATACAATTTTTTTATTATCTGTTCGTTCTTCTGAGAACTTTCCTAGCACATTCCTCCACAGAAGACCAGTTAGTCTATTAGTAACTGACAGTTGGTCTATTTATTGGACAATTTGTATCTTTGCGTGTAAAACAATACTATCTTAGACAACTATAAACTTAATACGATTGAGTAAAATACTTGTGCGTGAGCTAGGAGACACTGTTAAGTATCAACGAACGCACGAGAGCATTACCGAATGACAGGAGATAGATGGTGGTAATTTATTGGCAATAGTTGAGATTTGACCAAATCTAATCGAATCAAATTGTATTCGATCAAATCAGTTTATACCTGCATGATTGTGTTCAGTTATAAAATATCATATTAAGATAATGAAATAATCCGTTAAGGGGACCCGGTGGTCTAGCAGCCAAAAATTTAAGCTATTTAAAAAAATTTTATTTCTCTTTTTCAGAAAATACTTTTAACTACGAGCCATTTTGTCAAATATTTTTTTTTTATTCTAGTTCCGACGATAACTATACTTATATTAATTAAAAATCCGTTATTTTTTTTATTTCAGATCAAAGAGAGAGATCAATCAACACGCACCAGTCAGGTCCATTTTTTTGGAAAGGGGGACTTCCGCGTCATTTTTCTAATTTAAAAAAAGTTTTTTTTTTATACGTGTAAAAAAATTTGAAATCATAAGTCATTACCTTCATATAGAAATAAAATTTTTAAAATATCTTAAATTTTAGGCCGCTAGACCACCGGATCCTCTTAATTGATTAACAAGAAAATTAATTTCGTTGTAAAAAAGCATGCTTTATAAGATATTTTTATAATATCCCTGCTTTTACCAATATCTACTGTCTGCTAATAAAATATTTACAACAATTAATGTCAAGCACCCACGCTTTTTTACAATAAGATGAATTTCTCGTTGATAACTCCATTTTTGTTTTAAACATATTGAAATTAATCTTTTATTTTCAGTTTTCTATAAAAAAGTTTTATTTAATGTTTTCAATTATCATTTATTGTGAATTGGAATCAATAAAATTTTATATTGTTTCTTGTTTCTTCCAAAATTTTCCTATAATTCATATATATATATATATATATATATATATATATATATATATATATATATATATATATAT